AACAGTATTTCAGGCTTCTGTAATTTAATTTTCCACACTGGGCAGTTCTAAATGCCACCACTTTAAATTACATCTTTGTTCAATAGAATTGTTTCTAGGGAAAAATGACTAAAACACTGACCAGTGGCACAAACTTAATTTTTTTTTTCTTCTTTCTTACATCGTGTAAGCTTGGATTTGGTATGTTTCAGCATGACAAACGCAGCAAGGCTGAGGAAATTGGGCAGAGTGGAATAGAAAATCAACTTTTGACATTTTTTATGTTAGTGTTGCTGTGACAGAGCAAAGACAGTTTTAATTAAACTTTGCTTTTCCCTATCCTGTATGGATTTAAGTTTGTCTTCTACCTGAAATTAGATGATAAAAGAAAATCTAGAAACTTTTTTTTACTTTGCTTTCAAAAAGGCAGGAAGGATTTAATTTTACTTCTCTTTTGCAGCATGTTTATCATGCTTCCTGGTTGGTTTTGTATTATGGAAACCCCCAGCCTGCTTTTGTAAATCAGGACTTCAGCACATTTTCCACAAAGTGGAAAATATAATCTCTGTCTTTGAATACTTTAGCGTAAGTGTAAGGGGGAAAATAGATAAAGCCAGAAAAAACTTAACCTCATTCATCCCCACTAGAGAAAATAGTGACAGATTTAATGCTCATCTGTGTATTACTAAGTCAATCGCCATGAGCTGCTTCTGAGAATCTCTCAGGTGCTGTAGCAGGGAGTAGTTAGTTAACAGCTTACAGTCAGTCTTTATTCCAAGAGCTTTTTCTTTCTTTCTTTCTTTTTTTTTTTTGAAGATGAATCTTACCTGCACCAAAGTTAATGCTAAGGTCAGCAGCAGATGTTGTCTGAAGATGATAATGTGTTTTGGATTGTCCTTAGATAGGTGCCAGGGTGCCAGAGTCACTCTATGGATGCATTGTCTCATCTCAGTATTTGGGTGGTAAAACCTACTGAGATGGAATAGATTGAGCAATGTTATATTGCAGAAATCTTGCTAATTATTGCTGTTACCATAATACAGATTTTCTGTAGCTAAAATTGTGACTGGCTGCATTTTTTTTTCCAAAGTCTTTCAGCAGTTTGTCATCTTTATCTGTATTTTCACCAAGTTTGAGGGATTTTGCACTTTTTTCTTGGCAGTAGTTTACAAAGGAAGTCACATTTGGGAGTTGTTCTGGACAAGCTTTGTTTCTGTGACCTTTACTTACAAAAAAAAAAATCACATACAAGAAAGCCCCATGACTTGTCTCTGGATATTTAAGGGCATAAAGTCCTAATTCAGATCAGATTTAAATTTTCAAGCATTTCTATGGAATGCAGTGTGTACTTTCTGCTTTCTGAAAGTTAAGGATCCATGTAAACATTTGTAGGTCCTGATGCTGAAACATTGCTTAAACAGTAAAATTGTTGCTTAAGGGTTCTTGTCCTAAAGTATATGAGCTAGATTTATAGGAGAAGGAAAACTCTTAGAATATCAAAATGAAAAAATACACAATAGATTAGGTGCTTAATCATAGAATCATAGAATGGCCTAGGCTGGAAGGGACCTTAGAGATCATCTAATCCAGCCTCCCTGTCATGAGCAGGGACGCCTCTCAACTAGATCAGGCTCCGTCTGACTTTGCCTTGAACACCTCCAGGGAGGGGGCAGCCACAACATCTCTGGGCAATTTATTCCAAAGTCTTGCCGCCCTCTTAATAGATTATTAACTGTAGCTGACTGGAACCTGCAAGATATTTAGATGACTGCTGCTGAGATCTCACACATGCTGTGCTGGTCATATCACTTAATTTTGTCCTGATGGAGCTTTCCACCTTTCCAGCTGGGGAGCTGCTTGTCTCTGGAGTTCCCACTTTCTTGTCTCTGCATTTGGCAGTGATATGACTGGAAATAGCCAAGGGAAAAGTGGATTTTCTTCCGTGACTGGCAAACACCTTTCTAGAAAACAAGTTGGTACTAAGGTTAAGTTTTTGCTTGGGTACGGAGTGACAGTGTGATGTGGGAACCAGTTAATGCAGAAACTAGGAAAAGTATGTAGCAATTCTTTGAAATCTTTAAACTTCACGTATGTGCAGACAGGTCTTGCTTCAGGGAGTGCTGATGAAGTTTTCCAATTCATTATTTCATTTGTGCCAGTAGACTCAGTTCTTCAGACTTTCTTCAGTAGCTTGACAAGCCAAGCTACCACTAGGTATACTCCCAAAGACGAACATGTTGAGCAGACAATAAAAGGTACAATCAAAAGCTCACACCTGACTGAAACTTTTAGAGGAACTGAAGACTACCACGGATGCAGCTCTGCTCCAGTTTAAATGTAAAGTGTACTTCCTTCGAATCTTCCCATTTTAAGAGTTACAGGCACTAACACCAAAATACGTCACAACAGGGGAGTTAAACGCTGTGGAGGTGAAAAGGGGTAATTTCTCTGCAAGCTCAGAGTTTTGATGAGTGCTTCTATCACCTTGGTATGGTTTGGTGCACACATCTGTTTCTTGATGGTTGAAACCTCGTCAAAGCCACCAGCAAAAGTCCTGTTGGCTTCCGCAGGGCTCAGCTGTCTGTGTTTTCAGGAGTAACTCGGTGCTAATGAGCGAAGGGTGTGTGAATGGAAGAAGAGTGTTTGTTCAGTTCAGGCTCCCATATTGCTGTGAGAAGTGGAATGAGGAAGTAGACCAGTAGCTTCCCCTTTCACCAAGCAGTATTATTAACATGCTTGGCAATAGCATTGCTGGTGGGGGAATTTGTATGGAGTGAACCAGCTGTGAATTTACACTGCTATCCTATGGATTTGCTATAAATCTCAATTGAAGTATGTCTGTTGATGCAATTTGCATCAGCGATTAGAGAGATCTATATGAACAGTCAAAAAGCTAAACTATATCCTGTGGTCTTCGCAGTCTGTCATCCGAACATCCCCTCATTACGTGTTGTGTTTGGTTGCCCAACCATGTAGCTGCAAAGTTGAAGAGCTCAAAGTCTTGTGTGTTGTACAATCTGTACATTTGTTAGTATGGTGAAGTGTAACTTGTTTAAAGATACTTAGGGCTACCTGTAGAAATTTTCAAGACAAGAAAGTCAATCACAGCTTTTGTCAACACTTGGATGAAATATTCCTTGTGTATCTCTTGGTTGTACTGCTGTTGCCAAGATCAGTGTTAGAGGCAGCTGTCTGGTGAACACAAATATGAAGGGAGAAAAAACAATCGCAAAGGACTATTTCAGTTAGTTTTCTAGCCTTTCCACACAAGGAAATTTGGCCTTTTGCAGTCTCTTGAGCAGCTGCATTTTAATGTTTACCTTTTAACATTAGATATAATGTTTAACTAAAGTAGTTTTAACCACTGCTAGCATTGTAATTAGCGTACTACTGATGTGTCTAGAAATAGTCATAACTTAGAAAAGAAACAAACAGTTACAATAGTTTTGAGAAATCTTTTTTGAACTAATGTCTTTTAGGTGATTTCTTTGAATGTGAAGTTCTGGTTCTGGTGGAGTGTTTCATGGGCCTGACCAGGGCAATGTCTTGGAGACTCTATTAGAGGTCATTTCATATCATAGAGATATGAAAACAGTCATGTTATAAAACAACCAAGGTGTTACTGTGCTGTGTTAATACAGACATTTCAATGTGGAAAGAAAATAATATTTGGCAACAAACCATGTTAATTTAAATTTATCGGGGTTTTTTCTTTTATTTTTTTTAAGAGTTCATGAAGACATCAGTTTGCAAACTCTAGCGCAGCTGGTATCACACCTGACAAATCAGTTGGCCTTTTCATTTCCTCCTTTTCTGTTTAAACATTTAAATGTGCCTTCACCCTCTCCCTGAAAGTGAGTTTTATCAGTGTCTGTTAACCAGAAGCTGATAGGCTAGGAGAAGAGGGTGTTGCTTGGAAGGCACATGGTTTGGGTTGAACAGCAGAAGTGCGGAGAAATGAGGGATGAAGTTAAGACTAGAGCACAGCCTGGATGAAGCTATGGGATTGTTTTGAATGTGTGTATGCTTGATTAGTCTGCATTCTCACTGCAGAACAGTTAAATGGCCAGTTTTCATTTGCACATGTATGCTAAGCTAGGTTAACTTAGATTTTGAGTATCTCTGAGCTAGTACTGAAATTTGATCTGGATAGATGGCAAGCAGGCTAAGACATCTCTAATAGTCACATGCTGCATGATTGTATATGTGTGCTTTCAGGGCAAGTGTACTTGTGAATATTTGCGCTGTCAGATTTTGACCTTTTTCAGTAAGATAGTTCTTATTAAAGAAGTTTAGACAGATAATAGAGTTCTGGGTGCAAAAAACAGCCCTAAAGATGCATTTGTATACCCAAGTTGTTGAAAAATTAATTCATGCTGAAAAACACAGCAGCTGAAACAGGATAAAGTGGCGATTCATAGATTTCAGATATAACTGGATTACAACTAAAACTGAAGTCCATGCAAGTGATTGGTGTTTAGAGGGAACTGGGTACACTCTTCATGCTTACATGTTTTAGGCTGTGTTGATCTGATGGGTCATACATGATATAGAAATAACCATATAATTGGTTTGGGGTATAATTGATCAGAGGATTTGGCATTGACAGATTAAATGTACAGCTTTTTCCTAGAATGGGAACAAATGAAAATGCGTACCTTTTCTTCACTTGCAATGGGGAAAGTACGTAAGAAGTTTGACAAAGGATATAGTTTCTGTGATGTAACTGCTGTAGAGTAATTGCAGGTCTTAAGCTGTGTGTATTACTGAAAATCATAATAGTGAGAGTTATTGTAAGAAGTACAAAAAAGATGTCTGTTCCTATTTAATATTTTTTAAGAAAGCATTCCCTCAAATTCGTCTTTGAAGTACTGTATTTTCAGAGAGGGTAAACATTAGTATATGGATTTTTCTTTAATCTTTTCCAGTGTGTTCTGCTTTAAGATGATGAAGAGTGTTATAAACCAATAACCAAGACATAACTCTGTTTTCTGCTGGGGGTGGGGTTAGGTTTCCTTGATAGGTGAAGACTGACTGGCTTGTTCTCATCGTGGATGATCTTGACAGCGAATCTACTCAGCCATGTCATACGGTGCAGGTTTTGGGGATCCAAATCAACTAGCCCAGCGCATCACTTCTAACATCCAGAAGATCACACAATGCTGTAAGTTGCATTTATGCATGTTATATCTAAAACTTTAATAATGCCCCCCATTTGAGGTTAATTTCTTGGGTTCATTTGTGGGAATTCACTCTTTGACTTCACTTGCTCACTTGGCAGGTTTGTGGCACCGCACACAGTGGACCCAGTCCTTTGTATGTGCCGTTAAGTGTGAATCAATCCTGGAGAAGTAGTATGACTCTGTATTCCCAAACCAAATGAATAATTAGTTAAGATTTCCCATCCTGGAAACATTCCAGGTCAGGTTGGATGAGGCTCTGAGCAACCTGATCTAATTAAAGATGTCCCCGATCACTGCAGAAGGGTTGGACTAGGTGACCTTTAAAGGTCCCTTCCACCCTAAAATGTTTTGTGATTTTAAGCTGGCTGCTGGTAATAAGCCAGTTTGGTTCTGGCCAGTTATGTGGCACATTAAGATAGTAGGCTGAGATGTTTGCTGAGCAAGGATTCCATCAAATATTTGCTGGAGCTTGAATTGTTTAGCAGGAGTGGAAGCTGTGGCCTTACAGTTTGCCCTTGGAAGTGCATATATTAGATATGTAAATAAGATTGTGCAAATTTTAATATACTTAGAGTCATACCACCTTATTTTGTAGCCAACCAACTGGGGTGGTCAAGTTAGAGGTAGGTTAGCCTGCTGGGATTTTCAGTCCTTTTCCCTTTCCCTCCATTTTCCATTATATTTTTAATATGTCTGAGTATATATAAAGCAATTACAACTTGATCTCAAAAATTACACAAAGTATACTGTTCATCAAAAGGGAGCTAGCCACAAACAGCATATGACTAGGTTTTGGCGTGAATGTTTTTTGTGTTATGCAGAATGTAATGTGTGTGCAGAAATTGGTGTTTTTTAAAATTAAAACTTCAGTTGAATTCTGATCAGTTAAGTACATCTGTTTTGTTAAAAGCTTTGATATTTGTTTTGCAAGACAAGTTTTAGGAGTTGGTATTTGTAGCACAAATTTGGATTTTGCCTATTTTTTCAGCTGTGTTTTGTGTTTTCGTCCAGAAATAATTTAATTCTCAACAGACAGGAAGAAAAATTGCAATTATGCTGTATTGAAAATCTTTTGTACCTCAGGGTTGTATTTCCTCAACCTAAACTTAAACTGACTCTGTAAAAGCCCTTATGCTTTATTTCCTGAAGTCTGCTCAGTGAATTCATTCAGTCTTGTGGCTTCTAACTTGGTCTTCCAGAGACACCTCTCAATCTATGACAAACGCTGAGGCTCCAAGATGTGAAAAAGAAGTCTGGGTTGTCGGATGAAAACCGTCTTGTGCTGGACTCAGTGAGTCCTTAGTCTCACCTGCCTCTTCCTTCTCTTCCCTTGCTTCTGCTGTGTCTCCTCTCCCTTTGTGACAAACAAGATGTACTGAAAGCCAACTGCCCAGGCTTAGATAGGAAACATGCCACCGGGGCTACCGGCTCAGCTTTCCTTTTTTGAAATTTAGATGGCTAATGTCTCAGCAAATCGGAGCAACAGGCAGGCGCTTCTGCTTTTCCAAGACCCATGTCCAAATCTCTTTTAGCCACACTGCTGCGTGGCTTCAAAACCAGGAGCTTTGCCTTCAAAAAATCCAGCCAAACACTTTTCTAGGACTGGTAGGTACACAGCTAGATTCCATCTCTCACTCCTCTGTAGATCTAACTGGACTGTTACTCTTGCAGTCCATTCTCTGGTAGATTCTAGGAGGATCTGGATCCTATGGGCATGCTGAATGTGGTTCCTGAACAAGCTCTCTAAGGGCTATTTTGTTCCTGTGTGTAGTACCTGTCCAGCTTTCTTTTGGAAGATGTGAGCTGCAGAACTTCCAGGTCAGATGGGAAAAAATGTGCAAGCTTAGGGAGCTATAGAGCTAGTCAGCTGCTGAGCAGATGTCTCTTGGACTGCAGCTTATGACCTTGGTTAGGGAGAGAGGAAAAACCAAAAATCTTGACCCTAAATCCACGTTTTCCCCTCTAAGCAGTTAGCTTGATTTTGCACATTTGTCCAGAAATGTGAAAGCATTTGTGAGATATATCGACACATTTGAAATCATCTTGGATAACCTGGAGTTGTGTAGACATTCTGTTTTTCAGAGTGAGGTTAACAGACTAAGAGAGTTTTGTTTCGGGTTACCCAACTATTTCAGGATGTCCTTCAAAACTAATTCATGCTTCTCCTAACATGTAATCAAGCTGTGATTACTAATACAGAGATATACATATTAGTTGAAAGGAAGCTGTCTCTCCTAGCTAGAAGCTGGCCCTTTAACTTGTGGGAGGAGAACTTCCTGAATTCGACAATGCTGTGCTGCAGAGATTTCATAATATACTGGGGTTCTATAGGAAGCAGTGTTGGTTGGAACAACGATCTTTACTGTAACGTTTCTTCAAGGTTGAATTACTACACACACATGATCCAAGTAATAAATTTGGTCTCTTTCTTGATTAACTGTTTTTAATATGCCATACATACATTACTTTACATTTGGTAATGCATCCACATGATGCTGCTGTCGTTTCATACTTGTGGTCCTTACCTCTCTTCTTTCCTGTATCATGTAGGCCACTGTTACTGTGGACAAGCAAAGCTCTTCTCTGTGCTGGTTTAGAACCACCGCTTCTGTAATTAAATCAGTTGCAAGATAGTATTCTTGGTTTGCATTGTTCTGTGGTAATGGAAAGGATCTGCAACAGCTGAGTTAGCTTAGCAGCCCTTTAACTTTAAAGAACAGATTCTGTTTATCTGTTGATCCAATCATGCAGTTGATGGTTACGTTGAAGATGTGTATAAAGAGTTGTAAATTGCTTCTGCCTTGCCTGAACTGCTCGTGAACTACTGCGGTAAATGCAGTAGGCTGTTTTGAGTTTCTTAGGAGAGGACATTGGTGGGTCATTTTTATGACTTTTGAGATAAAGTTGAGCTAGATAATGGGAAGCGGCATATGCTGCTCTCTGTGCTCTGGGCTGTCTTGGAAACTTAAGCCAGGAGGGCACCTGTATGTGTTTGGGATCCCAAACCCCAGAGCATTCTGTGAAAAGGTTCTTTCAGCTGTTCTTTACACAAGCATCTGTGCTCAGTTTTGCATTTCCAGCATTTCTGCAGAAACAAGTACTTATAACATCACTTAGTTACATTTAGGGAATGGTGTCTACTTTCCTGAAGCTCATGTTTTATCAATGACACCTCAGACATGAGATTTAGGGAGCTAGTCTGCGGAGTGTTCCTCCATGCCTTTTGTTAAAAATTCCACTGAGCAGCTGGGATTGGAAAACTTAAGGCTTTACTTGTAGGGCAGCAGGCCTCAGGTGGGGAGCGGGGAGTTGAGCTCTCAGACCCACTCCTGGTGTTTTTAGAGAATCCATGTGACTGAGCAGTGCTGTAAAACCTGGGGAACCTGAATCACATGTGCTTGAATGAGCTGCTGTGTTGTGTGCTGAACCTCGGTGAGATCAGCGATGCCTGCAAGCCATGTCTTGATGGTCTCGTTTCAGGTCTGTGTTAACTGAGATGAGAAGCACATCTGTGAATAGCTAGGGAGACTTCAAATTTAGATAATAAAACAAAAAAAGTGTGTAGTGAGCTTTGGCACCTCTTAGGCAGCTGCTGAATTTCTGTCTTACTAGTATGCAATTTAGGATTAAGGCTTGAAAGTCTGTCTGTCTGGAATCTGGTCCAAAGTAACTGTAATTCACATTCCAGGCCTAGCTTATATCTGATTATAAAATAGAATACAAGGAATGATGCACGGGGGAGAACTCAAACCTATCTGGGCTTTGCAGATGGAGAGCCTCTTATCAAGTTGTTTTAATCAGTGTTTGCAGAAGGAACAGTAGTTCCAGAACTGGAATTCATAGGTTGCACTCTCATGTATGTGGCAGCTTAATGGCCGCTGCTATTAACTTGAGAGAAATCTCAAGAAATCAGAGAATCCTGTTTCTTGTTAGTCACTCACTTACAGCACCTGGATAGTTGGGGAATGAGTGTGATGCTCAGAAACAAGACGAGCTAGGAAAAATATTTCTTTGTGACAAAACAAATCGTGTCTTCCTACAAATTTATATTTCTACCAGGCATGTTCATTTACCATACTAGGCATGTGCCTATTAAGATGAGAGCGCTGAGTCCATATTGTAACTTTTTTCTTTTTTCTTTTCTTTTCTTCCTCTTCTTGAAGTGCATGTAATGAATTGTACAAGGGGAAATCTGATCTTTCAGCAAATGGAAAGATTAAAGTTGAATAAGTAAAACAATCAAAAAACATAATTTAAAAGCTTTAAAATATGTTAATTTTAGACTTCTTACAACTGTAAAGGTGAGGCGAAGCAGTTCTTTGAAATCTGGCAGTTTTCTGCATTTTAAAGAATTGATCCTCTGTGTGTAGCAAAAAGGAGGAAAGATTCACCTACAGGGACAACTCCACAGTTACCAGAGTAGGAAGGATACGATTAGAGGAGTAAAGGCCTCTTCTACTCGGCTGGAAGGATTTGACTCATGTATCTGACAGGAACTGTGCAAGAATAAGTAATCAGCTGTGGTTTTTTTCCTCCCCTACATGCTTCTTCTCAAGTCTATCTCCCATATGTGGGGCACTGAGAAAGCGGACTTGTATGCCTTCGTTTTGCTTTGCTCTTAGAATTTTCTAGCTACCGAATATGTCACTCATTGCAGTCCCTGAAGAAAAGCAAGAACGATACTGGCTAGATTGATACCTGTCATATCTCCACTGGCATCTTAAGCTGGGTTTTGAGAGCTGTTGGTTTAGAAGCAATTTAGAATGTTGCCTTTTGCTTAGGAATACAGAACAAAGTCTGGCGTTTGATAAAGTACACCCAGTCTTTGAGTTTTAGAGTATTCCTGGTTTGCAAACTGTAATCAGTTACAGAACCTATGCTAACAGAAGTGAGGCATTCGTATTCTTTCCACTCTCCCTACCACTCCCTTCCCAGCTCCTCCAGTTTACAAAGCTCGTGGCAGGATTTTGTGCAGTGATAG